TAGACTTTGGGGTATAATAATGGGGTATATTATACTTCGATATAATTCTGATAAATAGATTTTGGAAGTATAATAATGGGGGTACATTATACTTCGATATAATTCTGATAAATAGATTTTGGATGACGCTATGAACGATAATGACATGTATTATTACGATTCTGGATACGTGTTATCTTTTAAAAAAACTCCAATTCTTGAACGAACACTTGCGATTATTGCTTGAAAATGCATATGTATGCGCGTCATACATATGAAAAGTGCGTATAATTAAGTTAATTCAATAATTACTGGTAAAAATATACTCGTAACACAAGTATGAAATGTATACTCGTATAAAGGAAAAATAAAAATAAAATACTGATAAAAAGAAGCGCAGCAATACTAAATTGGGGTATCAAAATGATGGATGGATCATGGATATATAATTAATATAATTGCTAACAATCCATTATATAAGTAATTAACCGTACGACGTACTGTATCAAGATTTAATTTGAAGAGTACGTACGTACGTACGTTCGATCAATATAATACGTAGTATACGATAGTATACAGCATGCATCTATATATATGTAAGTATATGTAATATGTATATATGCATGTATAAACATGCACTAGAGCATGATGCCATGCATGCATATCTACGGAGAAGGGAGTACGTATACGTATTAATTATATGTATCGATCATGCATATATATGTTATGTATATCTACATACATACGGATTGGCTTCAGAATTTATATGTATGTATATTCTGGGCGGCGTCCGCATGCATTACATCGATGGATCATATCATCCGCTGCTTGCTGCTGCAGCTCCCTTTCCCCCGCCACTACCTTTTGTTCCGCCGGCGCTTCCCTTTCCGTCGTCGTCCTTCTCGTCCCTGGCGCCTCCTCCGCCCTTTCCGAGCTGGCCATCGCCACGAATGGAGGGACAACTAAGGAAGAAATTAGAAAAGCAAAATTAAAAATGATAGAATTAAAAAAGTATGTATAGTATGATATGGTATAACAATTGGAAAAATTAAAAAATGTAGGTATACTCACATTCCGTGAGGGATGTGGGCAGCGAGGGCGAGCATAGTAGGGAAGGGGGCGGAGCAAATCCCGCACACCCAATTTCCAGGTTTGTCAGCCATTTCGATCAGTTCTTTGAGCAATTGCTTTAGCTAGAATTGAAGCTACTGTGTATGTAGGTGTGGGTGTAACTGTGGATATATGAAAGCTAAGGTAGGTAAGAGGCCGGCTATATAGAGAGACGACGGAGTACGTACAGATCAAAACGCGTGACCTGCCTTAGCTTTTAATTAAAAACAAAAACGTCCTACTTTTAATTCCTAAAAGTAGCTAGCTTCAGGAGCTGAGGTAATACGTACATATATACTGGCTAGTATGCTGATTTTATCACATGCACCTGCAGGTGATATGATCTTCCTCTGCAGCGACGACCGATCCGATATGGACAGATATGGAGAATTAAGCAAAAAATACATAAGGACGTACTGCTAGCTGCTGCATATATTTGTTCGGTTTCATTATTTAATTTGCCATACCTGAAATGCAATCATCACTATCCGGCCAATTCATCACTATCATGTCTAATTTACATCCGTATCCCAAGCTAGCTAGGGCTACCGTAAAATATAATATACTTACTCACGCGGTGGCATATACTTCCCCCGTTATTTAATTCTTGCAACATTGTTATTTTTGCACTATTTATAGACCTTACTTTGACCATGATTTTCTACTAATATACATAATCAAATTATTACGTATAAAGTGTTATTGAATTCCTATCATTGTGAATTTCCAAAATATCAACTTTTTATAATGTTTACTAATACATATATGATCAAATATAATTACAGTCAAAGTTGTGCGTTGGCAAACGTGAAAGTTAAACTGTTGCAAGAATTAAAGAACGGATGATAGTATTATATACAAGTATATATACTAGTGTGTGTGTGTGTGTATGTATTTATACTACTCCCTGTCTCCCTCTGTCCCATTTATATTGTCGCAGTTCCTATTTACTTGGCCAACACAAATCACTCTTAATTTTTTACTTTATATATAAAAAATTTATCAAATTTGATTCAGGTTTTTGCAACTTTGTAAAGCTTTAAATGTAGTTTCTGAATATGTAATTTTTTTTCCTAAAAATCATTTGAGTGCGGACAGAGACCTGTTTGCTTTATCGTCGGTCAAATATCGTAAACCGTAAAAAGACAATATAAATGGGACGGAGGTAGTAGTATATACTACCTCCGTCCCGTTGGAATGTTCCCACTTTCCTTTTTTGGATGTCCCAATGGAAAGTTCTCATTTCCCTAAATGGAAAGTTATCCTACATCAAAACAGTGTCAAACAGTGCAAAACAGTGTCAAACAGTGTCAAACAGTGTCCAAACAGTGTCCAAACAGTAAAATTTACCCCCTGGTAAGTTTATTTCCTTAATATGTGTGTAGGTCAAACCGGGAACATTCCAACGGGACGGAGGGAGTAGTAAGGATCAAATAAAAAGTGCTCATAGGTGAAAAATAAGAACTAATCTTGGCCATTAATATGAAAAAATGGATGGAAGAGATCAAATTTTAAGTGACAAACACGGTGACATTTTGGTAATTATGAAAAACTTTTAATATAAATACTATACAAAAAGTGTACCAAAATATGCGAAAAGTGTACATAACGGTACATCATAAAATGTGCACAAATTATATAAAAAAAATAGCAATCTTTTTAACTCTTATTAGTCCACTTTTATTCATCTAATATCCACTTTGTACTATAAACCTTCTAATTAAAGATCATCTTGTAATCAAAGGCTAAAATTTGTTCTCACTTTTCATGGAAACGAAGACTACTTTTCACTTGAACTCACCTATAAATATATACTCCGTATACACTAGCGGAGTGCGCACTACGTGCGAATGATGCCTAATGTAGTCATATTAAATACTATTATTCAAAAAAAGATTTTTATAAAATGAAATAATTGAAATGATATATGAATATAATTGGTTTAATAACCATCAGTTTAATGATTTGTTTAATGGAAAAATAGTTATTTTTGTAACATGACAATGAAAGAAAGCATATATTTGACAAATACCGAACCGAACCGGCATGGTACCGAACCGAACTGATATGGTACCAGACCGAAAAACGGGGTTTGAAACGGATCTCAATTTTTTTGTCCCGAACCGAACCGTACCGATTCTAAACAATGCCATGACCGGTTCTCATAAAATGAGAACCGAAACCGGACCGAACCGGACCGAAGTATGATTTAATAATTTAAATTTACATTTATACCATTATTTTGACTAGTGCCTTTACATTTTCACCGTCTTTGCTAGTTCATAGGAAGCCTGGAATCGGACCGATGTATGGTTTAATCATTTAAATTTGTACTACTATAATTTATCTGAAATTTATTAATTATGTAATACTACCTTCGTCCCAAAATGATTTGCAAAATTAACTTGTTTTTGTCAAACAGATTCATTTTATTCACTTAACTAGAATGTCAATTTTTAATTATATTTAATTTGGAGCTTGCAACTTTGAAGAAATTTCAATGTAGTTTCTGAATATGTTTATTTTAATTATTACAAATTGAATTAATTATCAATGAAGAGAATTTAACTCTAACATTGGTTGACCAAAAAATATTGACTTTGCATGTCAATTTGGGATGGAATGAGTATGAAAATTGATAAATTGTGTAGATTTTTGGAGGACGACTAAACTTTAATTGTCTCTTAAACACTTAGAAAAAGTGGCATTGTTTGGTATTGGTATGGCATGGTACCATCCTGTTTAAAAATGAAACCGTACCGAACGGATTTAGGTCTAAGACCGAACCGAACCGAACCGTTTGAATAGTAACGGTACGGGTACGGGTTCGGCCAAATATTGGACCGGACCGGACCGCGCCCACCCCTAATATTTGTCATCCACTTTAGTGCTAAGTACAAGTTGGGTATTTGCAGAAAAACCCAAGTACTCCCTCCGTCCCAAAATTATCTTCATAGTTACTATTCACATGGTCAACTCAAATTACTCTCAATCTTTTACTTTATATATCAAATTTTTATCAAACTTAAATTTTCTTGATCAGGCTTTGTAGCGGTTTTAATGTAGTTTCTGAATATGTAAATTTTATTTACTAAAAATAATCCGAGTGTGAACAGGGATCGAGTTGCTTTATCGTTAGTCAAGCATCGTAAACCGAACTATGAAGATAAATATGGGACGGAGGTAGTAATTGACTTGCAATTGGTGTTATATTTTTTTTTTAAAGTAAATGTTTTTAAACCAACTACGGAGTAATGTTTTTCTTTGTTTCTCTGTGAGGGTATTGTTTAAATATAATAGTCTTCAAAGCAACAGAGAAAGTGAGGTTTTAATGACACAACTTACCAACTATTTAACTTGATCAAACTCAGCACCTTACGAACTAAATTCGTTGGTAAATAGTGTGGTTACAAGCATGCCACTCTTATCAAGATCTCTATTGCCAACCGAAATCTAATAGATCATCTACGTGAATGATACAAAAATAATAACGACACTTATAAGGGAATGATGGTCATAAGTTAAGTCCCTTAGAGCATCTCCAATGGGAAAATGTGCACGGTGCACACGTGGCATGAGAAATGACCACATAAATATTAGTAAATAAATTCTTTCTCTCCTTATTTGAATAATTTTATACATTTTTGGTAAGTTTTTCTCCACAATGTCAAGGAGACCGTCTAGATGTTGACATTGATGTTGACATTGCAGGGAAAAACTTACCAAAATTGTATAAAATCATTCAAATAAGGAGATAGATAATTTACATGCTAATATTTATGTGCCTATCACTCATGCCACATGTGCACCGTGCACATTATAGCATTGGAGATGCTCTTATAAATTCCTCATTCAAGAGCAGTGGGAATAAATAAGAGATTAATGACAAACAACTCCACTCACCAACTTCACCACCAACCGCAAAGTGAATTTAATGCTCGTGAGGGATTAATGACGGACCATTCCCTTATGAATGGCTAATATGCTCCGTATAAATTTTTTTTCTCGACTCTCATGTATCCGTCTAACTTATCTCTTACAAAATGAAGTCCATACATGGATATGCATTGTTCCAGCTTCTTGCTTTTGGAGTCCATAAGTTATCCGGGTAAGGTTAATCGATTATTACCTTCAATCACTTTTATTTTATTTTATTTTATTAATGACAGTTATGAAATTGTAATTAAATTTGTAATTATATACTTTAAATAATTTGACATTTTCAACGTATTTGCACTTTATTCTCCAATTTGAAGTGAAAAAAATTTGCACTATATATTTTATAGATCGAATTTTTACTAATAGATCAGAGTTTCATTAATGTTATGGCATCCATTGATTTTTCTAAATTTTTGTAACATTATACTCCCATTACTCCGTATTAATTTATGTAGAATATTATAGTTATGTTGTCAACAAATGTTGAACAGGTAATTGGTAAAACCGTAAAATGGAAGAAGCTTGTGAATGGATGTATAAGCGTAAAAGTCGGACTTCCGGTAATCTAAATCCAGAATTCATAGATGGTGTTAGATTTTTCTTAAACCACGCATTTACAATAGCTGCAAATGAAGAAGAAAGTATGGTGAAATGTCCTTGTAAGAAATGCAAATTAAAAAAGTATTATGATAGAGATACTATTGAACAGCATTTATGTGCCCATGGATTTAAAGAAAATTATTATAGATGGGATTGTCATGGTGAAGAATTGCCAATAAATCCTAGTATATATTGAGGGTATACACCTTATGATGTGGACAATTCTGGTGATACATCACTATTTGGTAATAGTATTGAACAGAATCACCTCATGGGATGCATGCAGATGGTTCGAGAAGCGATGCATCCATTCTCTGTTCGACCAGAATATGAAGAAAATGATTTTAATATGTCTGGGTTTAATGAATATGAAGAAGAAGATGATGAGGTGGTCGTTGAAGAACCGAATGAAAATGCACGCGAATTTTATAAGTTGTTAGAAAATGCATCTGCTCCTTTGTATGATGGTTGCACAAATCATAGTAGATTGTCTGTTGTTGCAGAACTCTTAAGTGTTAAGAGTCAGTATAACATGTCTTGATAATAAATTACCAAGGACCCTGTATCAGTCAAAGATACAGTCAAAGATAATAAACTCTTATGTTGATGCATGTTTTGATAGAGTTGCTTCGATTGTGGGACGAATAGTTCCCGGTGATAATAAATTACCAAGGACCCTGTATCAGTCAAAGAAGATGGTTAGCGGATTGGGGTTACCTTATTATAAAATAGATGCATGTGAGAACAATTGCATGTTATTTGATGGGAATGCCAAGGATTTGGCATATTAGAGTATGTGTGGCGCCTGCAGATACAACCCGGATACGATGGACCGGGGAGGGAAAAAGAAACCCGTGCCAAAAAAAGTTTTGCGCTATTTGCCGATTACAGAGCGTTTGAAACGGATGTACATGTCATCAAAAACATCTCGATTTATGACTTGGCATACACGGGCTTCATCTACTTGCACTACTATTTCACATCCATGTCAGTCAGACGCATGGAAACACGTTGATAAGACATTCCCTGACTTCGCATTAGAGCCTCGAAATGTACGATTAGGTTTATGCACAGATGGATTTAATCCAAATTCGGATTTTAGCAATCCATACTCAATTTGGCCTGTTTTCATTGCTGTATACAATCTCCCTCCTGAACTGTGCATGAAAGAGCCATACATTTTTATGGCCATGCTGATTCCCGGGCCTCGATCCCCCGGAAGGAACATTGATATCTTCTTAAGGCCACTTATTGAGGAGTTGAAAACCTTATGGAATGTCGGGGTTGAGACGTGGGATGCTTGTAGAAAACAAAACTTCAGATTGCAAGCATGCCTTCTCTAGACAATAAGTGACTTTCCAGCATATGGAATGTTGTCAGGCTGGAGCACTCATGGTAGATTAGCATGTCCATACTGCTTGGGTGAAGGAGTGAGTCAGCATCTTAAATTTGGGAAGAAGCCATGTTGGTGGGGTTGTCATAGGAGATTTTTAGGAACACAACATGCATTCCGCTGTGATAGGCAAACATGAGGAGTTTTTGGGGTTGAGCATCGAAATCCTTGTCCAATAGTTTCAGGTGGTGAAATTTTGAGGTGGATTGAGAGCATTGATTTTCCACCATTTGGGTCACAATATGACAATTTATGTGCTGATGGGTTTGGCCGATCACATAATTGGATTAAAAAATCCATTTTTTGGGACCTGCCGTATTGGAAGCATTTGCTCATCCGACATAACCTTGATGTAATGCATATAGAGAAGAATTGTTTTGACAATGTCTTCAACACGGTTATGAATGTCAAGGGGAAGACTAAGGATAATTCCAATGCTAGGCGTGATTTGGAGCTTATGAACATTCGTAGAGAGTTGCATTTATACATTAATAACATAGCTACATACCAGCCCAAAGCAAGTTATGTTCTTGACAAGTCCTGTGTTGTTGACATTTGTAACTGGTTGAAAAATGAGGTGAAACTTCCTGATGGTTATGCCTCAAATATAGGGCATTGTGTCAACACAAGTAATAACACATTCTATAGCATGAAAAGTCACGATTGTCACGTGTTCATGCAACGCCTACTTCCGATTGCATTGCGTGGTTACCTTAGGTTGCCGATATGGGTTGCAATTTCTAAATTCTGTAAATTTTTTAGACTTTTATGTGCGAAGGAATTGTGTATTGCAGACATTGAGAAACTGCAGGATGCTATTGCTGTTACACTGTGTAAGCTCGAAAAAATATTTCCTCCAGGTTTTTTTGATTCTATGGAGCATTTGACGGTACATCATGGGAGATAAAAATTTGTGGACCAGTTCAATTTCGTTGGATGTATCCATTTGAGAGGTTGATGAAAAAGCTAAAGGAGAAAGCAAAAAACAAACAATTCCTTGAGGGGTCTATTGTTGAGAAATTCTGGGTTCAAGAGATCACTTTATTTTGTGAGCATTACTTTGATAACAACCTGGGTTCTCGCGTAAATCCTCATATAAGGAATGAAGTTTTGCCTAGTATGTTGACCACAGGGGAATCATCAAATGATTCAGAGAAGCTGTCTATTTTCAAGCACCCCGTCTATTTTACCAGTTATTTCATACTTTTGAGTACAAATTGGAGCTTTATCCTCTGTTATTTGTAAAAATTCGTAGTCGGTTGCCTCTTATAAACCTGATTTCTATACATTTGAGTACATATTGGGCATTACGCTCTGTTTTACTTTTAGTATAAACTGGCGCATGGCTATTCTGAAACGTCATTTCTTTATCCATTACCTATTTGATAATTGATTATTTAAATATTGATTATTTTATACTTGACCATTCTACACTGAGTCATTTCTTATATGTTCATTTTAATTGTTTTTCTTTCACGGACCATTTAATCTTTGACCAATCAAAGTTTCAAAGCTAACATATCATGGTTCATGTTAACAGCCATAAGGAGAGCTATTGAAAACCAGACAACTTAATTCTCAATAAGCAGAACTAAAATATTAAAATCCTGGATAAGAGGATTCATATCAATAGTCTTTCCGGACAAGTTCCTCTTTTTGATTGGAGGCTTTCTCTTCCAATCCTTCAGCATTATATTCATCTACTGGAGATGTTGAACTAGATTGCATATTGTATTTGTGTTTTTGACTTAAATATTGGTTGTTATAGTTTATTATTTTGTATGGTTGCAAGCAGGCATGTCTTCAGGGGGATCTACATCGCGCGGGTGGCGGCAAAGCCATTCGTGGACGTCGCGATAATGGCGGCAGGGGTGCATCTCAAAGATTCTCTACAGGAGATCAAACAGTCCAAGTTAATGAAAACGAGTCACCCAACACCCCACCATCAAATGTGAGGCCCTCATTCACTTCTAATACCGGAACTGAGGCATCTATTCAGGCCAACTTTACACTGGAAATGGTCCACCAAACACAACCTGAAACAGGACTTGAATTGGGATCGGGCCAACGTAATCACATTATTAATTTATTATTGGAGAGTAAGTCTTGTGTATATATACAAACTAATTTGTTTAAGATCAGTTTCAGCTTGAAACTAATTGGACTATTTTTGTCATAGCTAGAACTGCATTTGACTTGTGTTTTGTTTATGAATGGTTCATTAGTTTTCAGCTTGAAATTAAATGATAAAGTGAAGAAGTCACTCGAGCTCATTGCCTCAAATTTGTTCACTGGCTGGCCTGCCAATTATGGAAATCTGAAACCACAGGATCGCGAGAAATACCTTTCACGATTCTCGGTAAATACATTAGGAACTACATTTCAAGTTCTAAATTATACGTTATGATAACCTTCTTTTTTTCAGCGAGACTACACCTGGGCTCCTTCCGATAATGGGAAAATGATCTCCAAGATCCACTCGGAATTTAGTTGGCGTTATTCGGCACGTATGTCAAATATGAGAAAGGCTGCAAAAAAGAATATTCCTGACTTTGCTGAAAATAAGGATTATACCAGACTTATCCCCTTTCGAGCAGAACGTGTAACTCCTCACGTGTGGACTAAGCTATGCAATTACTGGAACTCAGACGATTGGAAGAAGAAGTCAGACATTGCAGGGATAAATCGCTTTGGTAAGTAGGATCAAATAAGAACATATGTTTGATTTCTTGAAAATTCCTATCTACTTTTTTAGTATATAGTTATAACTAATAAATAAAATAAATTATGTAGGGAAGTTCCCGCAAAGACTAAAGGAAGAAAGTCCAAGACGAAGTTATACGCTGAAATTGTAATAACTTCATTTATAATTGAATTGAATTATTATGTTTGTTGTGATGCGTATAATTGTTGATTATTTGTTTTTTAATTGCAGGAGAAAGATTTAGGAAAAGAACCAACAGTTTTGGACTTTGGAGAAAAGTGGGAAGCAATTGACCCCACCACAGGTCAACCATACCCGACACGACATGCTCGTTATATGGTATGACGTATACTTTATTCATGAGTGTAACGGTGTAATGATTTTTATCACTAAAATTAATTTAGTGCTCTAGTAACTTATTGATCGAGCGTAATGTGTTTTTGCAAAATCATTTTATTATAGGCTCTATACCGCCAACGAATGGAAGAAGTTCATGGGCCAGATCGGACACTTCATCCTGTTATTGATCATGATATTTGGTTGGAGATCACAGGTGATTCAAAAAGACGGCGTCGGGTTGGTATTCCTGACCAAATATCAGATCCTCAATTGTTTCAACTATCTAAACCAATTGAGGTATTTCTTAATTCACAGTTATACTCTTTAGTGGAAAGTTGAGTGTGTGAAATTCAAGTGAATGTTCTTTATCATGTGTAGATAATTATCAATTCACTAGGATATTTAGGTGTACTTTATTTGGATTATTGCAGTAATTGTTGAAAGCCATTTGGTGTGTAGTGCTTGGGATGCATTTTTATTGAACTTTGGTGACCTAAAATGTATATACTTGAAACAAACGACTACTAAAGATGCTGTATGATTGCGGATAATTAGTATAAAGAGACTGATTATTCAGCATCAGCATCTTTTCAGTATCAACATTTTTGTTATGTACTATTATACTTGTTGCTTGTGCATGTGTTCCATGTGTTTTCTTTATCATTTACTATCAATGAACTGGCTAAACTAAATGAATGTCTCAGCATGTGTATCCACTATTAAAACACCTCAGTCAATTGGCCAATCGATTTTTTTTTAAAATTAAGAGCACGTCAGGATTAATTGAGTTTGAAGTGTACTCAAATTGTATTTGTTTTACTTTTCTGCCTGGAAAAGAAAAACTACTGAAAAGGGTAGAAACTATGACCATCACTCAATTCTCACCTTTGCCCCAGAGCAGCACCCCGTTTTCTCACTAATGCTCCCATTTTGTGTTGATTTCTCAGCATATCTGTCCAAAAAATCTGTTTTCTTTCCAAACCTCCCCATTAGTATACACTTCCTTGTTCAGATTGGAACAGACACTTTGATATCATCAATTAGAAAACTTACAAGCATCAAAAACTTACACAAAATGCTCCCATTTTGTGTCGATTTCTCAGCATATATGTCCAGAAACTCTGTTTTCTTGCCAAACCTCCCCATTAGTATACACTTCCTTGTTCCAGATTGGAACAGACACTTTGATATCATCAATCAGGAAACTTACAAGCATCAGAAACTTACAAGCATCCAATGCTTGTCATGATTTTTTGACGATCTAATATGTCTATATGTATACTGCTCATGCCCATGCAATACTCATTTTGCATCTTGATACATATGTATTTATTGTTTTATTTTTTTACATAACTTGATTTTTCTGTTGATGCATTTCACATCAATATACTGCACACTAGTCGTGATTTTTGACAATATTTTCTAAACTTTCAGGACAAGTGTATGCTTTTAGAAAGTCAAGCAGTTGAGCTGAGGAGTGAAATAGACACTATGAGAGGTGGTATGGCAGAACTTAAGGCACAAAATGAGGCAATGAGAGCTGAAAATGAGGAGCAAAGAGCAAGCTTCAATGCTGCAATGAGCAATGTGTGGGGCGTTCTTATCAGTATGGGTGTTGCTAGCCCAAGCATGATCCCTTCAAGCATGGTTGCAGGTGGATCATCATCGCAACATCACCAACCAGCGTTGTTTGGACAATTGCAAACCCAACAACCTTCATCGTTCGGACAGCGACCAGGACCATTTGGACAGCTTTTTGGGCTTACTTACGCCCAGGCTCAACATCAACTGCAATGGGATCAGCCCCCCCATTTTGGACTCAATGGTTTCACACAACCTGCTTCATCACAAGTGCGCTCTACAGAGGTAGCTCGTCCTCCCTCCAGACCAACCATGGCACCACCTACTGTTCTGATGCGCACTACCGAAGAGGACTTGTCAAGCTCTGATGGTGATGATGACCAAGAAAGTGATTAAGTATGATGAAACTCTAAACAATGATAATTACATATGTTGTAATTTTTTTGCAATGCTGAAGGGCATTTTAACAATGTTTGAGTAAAACTTATATCTTTTGGTAATATATATATTTTGTTTGTGTTGATGCATGTAATTAGTGGGTTTTATTACATAATCAACAATTCTGAATTAGTAATAAATATAATAGGTAGTAATGGAAATTTCTGTATTTAACAAGTCTGTATAAATGAAAGGCCATATGCTACTGTAGAAATTTTTATACTATAAGGAAAAACTCCTTATTAATCTCTTATGCATTTTTGTGGGTAGTTTTAGGCCTCACACGGAAATAGCCCTTATTAATCTCTCATAAGTGTTTGTGGTTCTGGGGGTAGTTTTTATAACAGGAAGGGCCTTATTATTTCCTTATACTTAATAAGGGATCAAATCCCTCGTTTCTAAAGAAATGACGAAGGTTTTTATAACGGATTTAGTGAGGAACAATTCCGTCATTGTCTATAACAGATTAATGAGGGAACTCTTCTCATTAGCACATTTTCAATGGCGTAGTTGATCAAATAGCTCAGTATATATATTTCAGAAACATAATGTCAAATATAATGATATAACTCAATGGAGCGAATGAATAAAGATAAAGTTAAGCACAAACAAGGGAATAGTTTAATAAAGCAGGATGGTTACTGAATTGATTTGGCTGTAGCCTCAATTGTTTTGGTATCCCTGCAATATCAATTGAGTTGAATTAAACAAACCATCCAAAAAATACCAAATAAACTATATGAAGTTTTATGAGTAGATGAAGGGACATTTTAATGACCATTAAATTAATTATTAAATATTTACATTATGAAGTTTTAATATGAAGTTTTAATTGCTTTGTAATACACACGTCCATATCTACATGAGTTCCTTTGTATGTACCAATGTTTAGAAAATGTTTTTGTTAAATTTTCGGGGCCTAAATACAGATAAGAAAAGAAAGTTAGATACATTCGTTCAGGGGCGTATCCAACGTGGGGGCAGGGGGGCAGCTGCCCCCACTCAACCCCCACCCAACCCCTATTTATATATATTCAATTTATAATTATAAAGATTATATATCAAAGAATTATGAGTATTGTTGCTAATAATGTCAGTGGTAGAGTGGTAGGAATGGTTCGGGGATTGATTTGCTTCAGGGAGGTGAAGTGTTCGAAACTTGGCCCTTAGTTTTGTGTGATTATCTTTTTCACTTTTGCCTTTTGAAGGCTTCTACGTATTCAAACTCACCTGACACAATTCTAATTTGTTTTCTTGTTGGAAAGATTGAACTACACCAATAGAATTAAATTTAGTTTCACATATGATTCATAAAGTTTAACAATTATATTTTGTACATAATACAAATTACAAATTTATTTAAATATGATATCATAATGTTTTTGACTGGTTAATATTTTGCTATTTATAATAGACTTTATAATTTTTCTTCTTCATGTAATTAGTCGGTAACATGCGTGAGATAATGTCTAAGGTAAGTCCGCCCCCGCTGAAACAAATCTTTGGATACGCCACTGCATTAGTTGAGTAAGGTATCATTTGAAATTGGGAAATCCTAAGGAAAAAATTATACTACGTATAAAATATTGAGTAAAATATAAATGGGGTTTATATGGAATGAAAATGAGATCGGATATTTTTGTTATTCATCCTGAAACACATTATTGTCCTAAAAAGGGAAAAAAATTACTCCTTTTCTTTTAATACTCCTTGTCATAAATGGAGTATTTTTTTTATGTATTTAAACTTTTTTCCCATAGCACTAATATTAACTTTTTGTTAATTATAAAATCTTGTAAAAAATTAGTATTCATCATCAATCCATAATCCCTAATTAAAGGAAAAATTGATAGTAATAATCCCAACAATTGGCGGTCCGCTCATAATAATCCCAACTATGGATTATTACAGAATAATCCCAACTTTAGGGACCTTCCGCCAATAATGGTCCCTATGAATAAATTCTTGTAGTTTCTAAAGTGGATGGGATGAGATATAACAAGTAGTCCCTATAAATAATCTCAACTTTTAATTTTTACGCTTAATTTCTATTTAAAATTCACTTTTTATAGAGGTAATATATGGTCATGGATCATTATTGGCGGATAGTCTATATAGTTGGGATTATACAAAAATAATCAATAGTTGGGATTATTTTTAGCGGACCAGCAATAGTTGAGATTATTGTTTTCAATTTTTTCTTAATTAAAAAGGTGGAACTTACAAAGAATCCCAAAAGATTGATGAACAAGGCTGAAATGCCCTCTAAAATTCGTGCTAGGCACTCTCTCTAAGCTGTTTAAAGGGGTTTACAGGCTGTTTAAATAGAGAAATCGGGTGAAATTTGAGCTGAATTGGGATTTCCGGAGGCAGGCACGATGCCAAGCACGATCGTGCCTCCGGAGCAAAAACGCGCATTTGGGCAGGCACGATCGTGCCTGGCTGGCAGTAGCTCCACGATGCTTTCTCTTCACGCATGATCGTGCCTGACTTTGAGGGCACGATCGTGCCTACCTAACTTCCGAATTTGGCTACGCTTTCTTCATGAAAGTTGTAGATAAAGAAGTCCTCTATCCACCCCAATTTGCCGAATGTGATTTGAATCATCCAATCAAAACGGTGGAAGGTGTCTTTCTGAAATAGCAGCAGAGATCATCTGACTTCATCGTCTGTTTTCACCTTCTTCCTCTCAGATTCTCTCAAAGATGTCTTCATATCATTTGTAGCCCTTGAAGTTATCTTTCATATGGAACTTGAATCGTGTCCATAGGTTGTTTCTACAAAGAGATATGGTTGAACGATTGACAGAAGGTCATCTTGATCGTCATTTTCAAGCTTCATTCATCTTCTTTTGACCCCGTAGCCAATCCTAGAGCACTTTTGCCATCAAATCTTCATCGTGAACCTCCCGGTGACCTCCAAAGCTATCAAATCAATCTCAAATGCTTCTCAAATCATCCCGATTGTTCCTCAAGTGCCGGTGTTGGGCTCAAATTCCCTGATTTTGACTACAAACAACACAAAACTCGAACCAACGCCCGGTAAACATAACTTGAGCTAAAATTGAGACTTGTAACACCTTAAAGCTAGGAAAGTCATCAAAAGCTGATCTCAACATGCATCAAAAACTGATGTGAGTTTTCTCGCACTTAAAATAGATTGTAATATAGTGGTGTAAGTACGAGTATCGTCTCCACAGGGACGGACAAAAGGGAATCAAGAATTAATTAAATTCAGCGATTAAAAGAAATAAATAAAATAAATGCCTCGTGCGAGATATGATTGGAATGGAAAATTAAACTAATGCTACTGAACAATTAAAATAAATGGGTTCTCTCTAATTAATGACGAAGGGAACATGGATTGATTCCGGGGTAACCAGATTTCTGGCTGATCAGGCCTAATTACATGAAATTAATTTAATTGAGCCTAGCTAATCACTACTAAGTTCTTACCGCTCTCGCGGCGTAGAGTACAATAATTTAGGGGACCAGGTTGATCTCTTATGCGACAGGATCCTAAATTATTGCCAAGACGAGCGAGCTTACGGCCCCTTAATCGCTACTAATCTCTTAGCGAACGATTAAGTGTGTGTGAATGTGTCTTAGAATAAACTAGATCTCTCATAATTTATTCTACAAGCAATTGTAATTCTAGCGGCCGTTCTAGGTTACAAGAGATATCAGTTAAATTATTCAAACACAAATTAATCGACATTCATGCAATTAAACCGAAAGGAATCGAGCCATACATCATGATCAACCCCTTAATCGATCCCAGATCCCTAATTAAACTACTCACAATTCATAATTGAAGAATCAACAGAATTGGGATGAATAGAAATAATTGTCATTAATTAAAAAGGTGGAACTTACAAAGAATCCCAAAAGATTGATGAACAAGGCTGAAAAGTCCTCTAAAATTCGTGCTAGGCACTATCTCTAAGCTCCCCCTGAAAACGGGGGTTTACAGGCTGTTTAAATAGAAAAATCGGGTGAAATTTGAGCTGAATTGGGACTTCCAGAGGCAGGCACGGTGCCAGGCAAGATCGTGCCTTGGATCGTGCCTCCGGAGTAAAATCGCGCATTTTGCGCAGGCACGATCGTGCCTGGCTGGCAGTAGCTCCGCAATGCTTTCTCTTCACGCACGATCGTGCCTGACTTTGAGGGCACGATCGTGCCTACTTAACTTCCGAATTTGGCTATGATTTCTTCATGAAAGTTGTAGATAATGAAGTCCTCTATCCACCCCAATTTGCCGAATGTGATTTGAATCATCCAATCAAAACGGTGGAAGGTGTCTTTCTGAAATCGCAGCAGAGATCATCTGACCTAATCATCTATTTTCACCTTCTTCCTCTCAGATTCTCGCAAAGATGTCTGCATATCATTTGTAGCCCTTGAAGTTATCTTTCATATGGAACTTGAATCGTGTCCATAGATTGTTTCTACAAAGAGATATGGTTGAACGATTGACAGAAGGTCATCTTGATCGTCATTTTCAAGCTTCATTCATCTTCTTTTGACCCCGTAGCCAATCCTAGAGCTCTTTTGCCATCAAATCTTCATCGTGAACCTCCCGGTGACCTCCAAAGCTATCAAATCAATCTTAAATGCTTCTCAAATCATCCTGATTGTTCCTCAAGTGCCGGTGCTAGGCTCAAATTCCCTGATTTTGACTACAAACAACACAAAATTCGAACCAACGCCCGGTAAACATAACTTGAGCTAAAATTGAGACTTGTAACACCTTAAAGCTAGGAAAATCATCAAAAGCCGATCTCAACACGCATCAAATGCGTGTCAAAATACGGACTTATCAGGGAAATGGCTTTTTTTTCTTTCACAAATACACATTGAGTAAGGGGCTGTTTACTTTTTCTTTCATTAAGTTATGTCTGGATAAGATGTCTCTCTGTATTAAGACGTTTGTCTGGATTAAGAGACACTGAGATAACAAGCTGTTTATTTTGTATGCGGAAAGTGTAGTCTGAATTATATCAATTTACTGATTTACCCTTCTGTCTATGATAAGTGCTGAACAAGTATTATTTGTTTACTTTTTTTTTTTCTGAATAACATTTTGAGTGCATAA